AGGGACAGGATGGCTGGGGCAGGGCCGGCCCGCGGGAAGCGCTGGGAGCTGCGGCCCTGTCCCCCGCGTCGCGTGCGGCAGCGCAGCCCAGACAGCCCCGAGCTGCTGCAGCCTGAGCCGCTCGGTGACCTGTGCACGGACCGTCCCACGCGGGGCACTTTATACCTGCCCTCTTCTCCTGCCTTCCTGCTCTTGAGCACTCAGCTTTTGGCATCGTGCCTCACTCCTTAGACCCCCGGTTAAGTTTCCTGTGTGGAGTTTCTGATGGCTTTTGATTCCGTGTAAGCTTGGTGTGCTAGAAGATGAGTTATCGTGTTATTCTGAACATGTGGTGCCTTCCCTTTCTTCATACTCTTGCACGACTGTCTCGTACTGTTAGATCACTTAACAAAGAATGTTGGATAAGAACGCTAGATAAAGTAGAAACGAATGTCAATTAAACAGGCATTTGCCGCATTAAAGCAAGGGTTGTATCTAGCCAAAATGTAAAAATGTGCTTCCCAGCTCAAATCAGTTTTATGGAAAGTAAAATATTTTGGTGGAAACTTCATTTATCCAAACTAAGAATGAATAAGTCTGGCAAAAGGTAGTATAGTGTGACAGTTTTAACTCTGAATTTCCTAACATAAGACTAATCAGTCCTTTCTCAAATACTGCATGAGGCTTTTGTCTATCATCTAGACTAGGGAGTAACCTCAAGACAGTGAGGCCCACTCTTTGCGGATGGGAAATAAGAAAATAATCGTGTATATTGAAAACAGTGCAGGCCCTTTGAACTTGCAGCATTTATGACCTTTTACAAACTTCTTAGGGGAATAGAAATATCCTGTAATTTCTGTTTGGGCCTGATTAGAACTGTAACTCCAGGGGAGGGGAAGGGGAAGGAAGGGAAAATGCAATTATACCTCCTGAATTGATGTTAAACCAGTGACATTTTAAAAGCAACGAGGCTGGCAGTTGCCAGTCTATTGTTAGGAGCTACGCCGAGGCAGAAACTCCACAGTGAAGGTCACTGTGCTGCAAGCAGAGACGTGAACATTTTAGCATCTCTCTATTGTTTACACCGGATATTCACTTCTGCCCCTCACCTATTTTCCAAAGATAATATACTGTTTAGGAGTCGGTCGGCATCCCATCAGCACACGAGTTTCCTCGGGACACACGGCAAGCTCTGGAGGTTGCCCTGGCCAGGAGCCCTTGACGATGCGCTCCGAGCGCGGCTTCCCACTGCGGCACGAGTGCCCCAGGCTTCCCGGGCAATATGTGCAGAAGCGCCCGCTTGCCATCCCCAGGGGCAAAGCTGGCCCCGTCACTGCAAAAACACCTCAGTCTAAGGAGGAAAATGAGGGGGAAAAGTCTGTGACAAGCATCTAAGAATAGAGTGCTTATTTCTACCAGCGGATTTAGGGCAGAGATTCCTGTCGCTTAAATATGGTAGAAATACTCTGAGGGTGCTGTAGAGCTTTTACACCAACCCAAGGTAAATGTCTTATTGCATCTGCTTTGTGTGTGTAAAACTCGAACGATTTTTGCTGTTTTATCCTTTTCGAAGGTGACCTGCACTGTTTTAGTTCTGAATGGATTAACTCCAAACAGCAGGGTATGAATTAAAGGTTCCTGAAGCAGCCATTAGGAAGTATTTTGGTTATTCGAATAATGGAGCTGCTAGCCATTTAAAAAATTACAGGGAGAAATGTTCTTAAATGTCATCAGCTACCGAGTGCTGGAATTGCTTATGGGATTTCATGAGTTGCTATAAAACATGGTCCAGCAACAGCAAGAGCAGTTTTGCATTACGAGACCCGTAATTCTCGGTGTCTGCTTAAAGGGCCTGATACTCATCTGCTGTTAACGGCCTTTGCGCTCCTGAGGTCCAGCACGCTCCTCCCTTAATATCAAATGAGATTTGGACTTAAACCCGAGTATGAGAATGTTGAAGAAAACTTCTCTGTGTTGAAGAAAAGACAAAAATAACTGCTTGAGATAAAAATTCCATTGGCTTCACGTGACAGCCCCTTTCAGATTCCTTCTGGCTCCCCAGAGAAGAAAGCAGTGTTATCTGGTACCCAGAAAGCAGCATAGAGAATTCAGTACTTCTCTCTGTCACCATGTCCTAGGGGACTGTTCAGGGATGAAGTTACTTGGATAGAGTGCCTAAAGGCCCTCCTGCCAAACAAGGCTCCCATGTTAAAACTTACCCTACAGCAGAGAGAATCTTCTCAGAGTTGCTTTGGAACTGCAAAACTGTAGGGTATTTCTGTAAAGGCAACTGATTTCAGTTTGCCCAACTGTAAAATATTAGTACCTATCTGCCACATAGATAATGTAATATTTGACTGACAGTTAAAGCAAAACAGTAATGTAATCAACAAAACACAGTCTTCACTTGAAGCACCCAAATAGTTTCCCTCATTTCACTGAGAACTGCGGTGTGGATGCTGCAAAGGCGGCTTCTCCCTGTGATAGCCCTGGCTCGCGCTCGCTGCTCCAGGCGTGAGCGTGGGCAGGTGATAACTGCTGTGCGAGCAAGCCCCTCCGGCTGGCAGCATCGAATCAGTAAAGGACTTCAAATGCTGTTACGATCGTAAGAGCAGAAAGATTTGGGCAGAACACTTGCAATTACCCCCCAGTATAACTTTAGAAGATCAGACATAAAATGCCTGTTCCTGTGTTCCTGATTCCTTACTTGCACTGCACACACAGATATCATCACCTGAGTGTTCAGCTGCATGTATGTAATCAAATTTGGTGAGTAGTAAATACAATAGAACTGAATTTAACAAACCAAATTTAATGGTATAAATCAAGGTACACATTCAAGGTAAAACTGTCTTGACTTCAGCAATACAATTACCACAGAAACAACCTTAGATTTATTAAAATAGAAATAATTTTAAATGCATTTGCATTTCTTTTTCATTTTTTCACTTTTTGTTTCTAAGAAACGAAACTCACTTAACATGAACTGGATATTTTATCATACTAGCCTTTATAAACTTTTACAATGCTGTAATTTCAGAAGACTCTTTCACCTCACATCAATTTTAATATTAAATTAATCTTATTTCTGATTAAATTGAGTAAAAGTTTCTCAAATATGATTTGTCATTATTTCATGTATACCTTCATGTATATTTAATGTAAACATGTATCCATCCTAACTTGATATAAAAAGCCAGCTACTTTCTCAAGACATGTGGTTCTTAAAGGCAGAGAATCCTTTGCCAGGCTTAGTTTTTGAGAAAGTAGCAGAAAGCAATGCTCAAGTCAAAGCCATCAGCTACAAACAGCTTCCATTTAGCAGTTATCATTCCTTAGGTATTTTTTGCCCTTGAATGTTGAGTATGTGACAAGGTGTTTTGTTTATCCATTAGGTGTTGTTTCACTGCTGCAGTGATGAGCCAGACACCAAGTTGTGCAGAGAGGAGCCAGCTGCCCCGTGCTTGGGATTGGACACAGCAAAATACTTGTGCTGAGGTTAGTCGATTATTTCCCAGGTATGTCTGATCTGACTTGCTTTCCTCAGCAGGGCTTGGCAGGTAGACAACTGTGCCAGGAGTGGTAAGAAAACTCACTGCTAGGTGACTTAAGGCAGTAAATAAATAATGGTGCTTACCTCCTACACAAAGCACGCTGAGTGGAAGTGAGATATACGGGCATTATTAGACTATTTGACTGTGGATTTTAATAATTACCACATTGAAAGCTTTCTGTGATTGGTTGGGGCAGTCTCCACCTGCCTGGACTCTTGTCTACTGGCAGGGGTCAAGCAGCGGGTACAGAACGGAGCAGCGGGTCGCCCTGTGGATGAGCCACCGTAGGCCTTTCGGAGGAATATTGCTAGGTTTAAATCATGATGTGATCAGTAGAAATGACTGAAAATGTTCTGAAGAAATAATTTCCAATAGGAAATGGGGATTTGATGCAATTTCAGTGTTCCTGGGTATCACGTGGAGGCTGTTGAAGCCTCCTGATGGAAACCGGGCCGGCGGCTTTCCTCACCCTGAGCCAGCAGCTGGGGGGCTGCCCAGCCACGTCCGCCTCCAGCAGGCTATTTGGCAAGCCAAGCTCATGAGGAAGCTGGATACTTGCATGCATTTGAAAACTGGCTTGATTCAGCTATTCCAAAATGAATGTTTCCAAATGAGTTGCTGCACAGAGATCCTCACATACCCAGCTTTGCATGCTGATACAGAATGAAAACATTAAAAATATGAAGTAAAGTTTCTGCGGGTCATAAAATCCACTTCCTATGGCATCCCAGTGATTACATAGAAATGTGGCTGAATAAAATGGTGGCTTTTAATGTAATTTCAAAGAAAAAAGCACAAAGATTTTAGAAGGGCACCTCAGATTTACTGAATGCACTGTTCCCTCCTTACTCAAATGCAAAAAAAGGCAAACCATGGTTTACGATTGCAACTCACTGTAATGACTTGACTTGTGAGCACTTCGATGTTTTAATTGGGAAGTCTGAGAAACAGCAGATCCACAGAAACAGGCCCTCTTTATGATACTGTATTCTAAATCAATAGGGTCTTTTTTTCCTTATTGCATTTAACAAGTAGTGAGTGTAGTGGAAGCCTGGCAGGAGCGGAGCGCTCCCCTCGGGCACGCACCCGGCGCGGGGCGGCCTTGGCGCGGCGCGCTCGCGTTGGTGGCTCGGCACCGGAGGCCTGGGGAGCTGCCCGCGGGCTCCAGCCTTTAAAGAGCGGCCGCGCTGCCCGCCCGGTGACCGAGCCCG